CCTGGGGCCCCAGCCCGTTCCACCCCCCAGCCAGCAAACATCCCCCAACAAAACCAGAGGCAACGTTGGCTGCTCACCAGGCTGCAGCGAGCGTGGCCTCCGGGCAGCTGAAGCCCGTGTCCGGCTCTCGCATGCACCCGCGTCCCTGCCCAGGAGTCGGTGCAGCAGCCAAAGGCCACCCGGAGCAGAAGGGAGGAGCTGTGGAGATGGAGGTGATTTCTCTAACACTGCAGCTCCAGCACCTCCTGACACCCCACTGCAGGGCTGCCCTGAGGGGTCACAGCAAGCCCCTACCAGCCCTTTGAGCATGCACGAGAGGTGGATTTGGGGCAGCAAAGTCCCTTTACCATCCACCTGCGATGAGGCGCAGCCAGATAGTCCCACTCCAGCCTTGAATTGGGATCCCTGCCCAGGCAGCTGGTCCTTGGCTCCCGAGCAGACCTGAGCTGCATCCCTTTGAGCCAGGGCCCCTCCAGACCCCGCCTGTGGGACCCTCCACCCCCTGCAGCAGCAGGGACAGAGCCCTCAAGAGCTTGGGCCCACCGAGTTGGCGGCTCTCGTCCCCGCTTGGCGTCCCTCCGTCTGCAGAGGGAGAGCAGGTGGCTCCCGGCAGGCAAGTGCTCAGCCACATGGGAAGGAAATAAATAGCCTGTTCCCTGTGGGAGGGAGCAAGTGTCACAATGAACCGATGCTACATGCGTCCGTGCAACATGCCAGCACGGCTCACTGTCGGCCCCCGAGGAGCCAGCGAGGCCAGGGGCACAGGGCACGGAGGAGGAGAAGGGGAGCTCACCCAAAACATGCATGCCATGGAGCATCCCCCATCCTTGGGGAATTCAGTCCCTGGGCTGAGCCCCTCCTGTTGTCCTCAGGGAGGGTCCTGGTGAAAACCCTAACCTTTCTCACTGGCAGATACATGCCGGAGGGGATGCAGTGTTCCTGCGGCCCTGACTACTACACCCACAACCCCGACTACCACAACGAGTCCTACGTCCTCTACATGTTCGTCATCCACTTCATCATCCCAGTCATAGTCATTTTCTTCTCCTATGGGCGCCTCATCTGCAAAGTCCGAGAGGTACCGTGGGGAGAGGGTGAACAGGGACAGGGTGGGCAGCTCGGGCAGGAGAGGGGAGGTGGTCCGGGGGTGTCCCTCACCACTCTCCCTGCCCGCAGGCAGCTGCCCAGCAGCAGGAGTCAGCCACAACCCAGAAGGCTGAGAAGGAGGTGACGCGGATGGTGATCCTCATGGTGCTGGGGTTCATGCTGGCCTGGACGCCCTACGCCGTGGTGGCGTTCTGGATCTTCACCAACAAGGGAGCAGACTTCACTGCCACACTCATGTCAGTGCCTGCCTTCTTCTCCAAGAGCTCCTCCCTTTACAACCCGATCATCTACGTCCTCATGAACAAGCAGGTGAGATGCCCCATGTCGTGCAGGCTGAGCCCCTGCCCTTGGCTTACCGGCACGTCTGGTGTCACCGCAGGCATCTTGCTCTTCCCCATAAGCGATTGCATCTCAGCCCGGCGGGAGCAGCGAGCTCAGGGGCTGGCAGGGACTCTCAGTAGGGCAGCACATCCCCATTGGTCCCCAATGCCATCGTTCTGTTTTTCTCCCTCCTTCAGTTCCGCAATTGCATGATCACCACAATCTGCTGCGGCAAGAACCCCTTTGGGGATGAAGAAGTCTCCTCCACCGTATCCCAGAGCAAGACCGAGGTCTCCTCCGTCTCCTCCAGCCAAGTATCACCTGCATAGACCATGGACAGTTTGAACTGGGGCGACCTGCCGAGCTTGGGGACCAAGACAGACACCCACGCACCCGCCGTCTCATTTCACACAGTTGCTCCCTTGTCCCCCGACCCCCTCCCCTGCACGGGCAGTTAGCTGTGCACACCCCATGGTGACACCCCCCTCCCCATTCCCACGTGCAGCCCCCCAGCCCCAGGCACGCTCCCTGGGGCACCCCTGCACCCACCGGCACAAACCTGGCACGCTGAGCTCCTCCACGCTGACACAACCCCTTGCAGGGGAGCCCAGGTCCCTTCCCCAGCTCCCAGGAGCTGGCCAGATTTTAGGGACCATCTGTGCGTCAGCAAACCCCTCGACTTTGTTCACATCATGTTAAAACACCAGCGGCCAGTGGGAAACCCCAAACCGCGGTGTTTTCCTCCCTGCCGCTCGGGAACGTGCTCCCTGCTCCCATCCCCTTTCCCTGGCGCTCCAGGGAGCATCACAGAAGCGTTCAGCCCTCATTTACAAAAAACAAAGTACACCGACAAAGCACCATTGCGAAAACCCCAGAAGGAAGCACGAACCCAGGGCCCCAGCTGCCCCTTGCCCGCACCCAAACTGGGGGCTTGCCAGAGCACCACATCCCGCTGCCGGCACAGCCGATGGAAATCGATACCCGTAGTCTTTATAAATCAATGTAACAAATGGAGCTGGGAGCAGGCTTTGCTTCAAGCTTGACTCCCTGTATCCCCAAGACAGCACTGTAGATATATTTTTTTTGTCTTGGAACCTGTAAATATTTGCTCACGTACTTTGAAGTCTCTATCTTTCTCAGCCCTTTCCTTTCTCCTCCTCCTGACTCCAAGGCAGAGAAACCATCTTTCACCTCCGCTCCTGCCAGCCGGACACCCGGCCAACCTTGGAGGGTGGGACTGGTACCCGAGCGCTTTCCTGTACATATTTTATAAATAACTAATCTCGTGTCAGCACAAGGACTTCTACGGTCGAGAAGTAGGGATTAAAAAATAAGAAATAAACAGAAGCAGCACAGAGAAAAATGCGGATGCTCAGTCCTTGTCCTTTCTCTTGGGCTGCGTTGACACGACGCCGACGTCCAGCCGAGAAAAGGCGATGCCGCTGTTGGAGACGTGAGCCTGGAGCTGTCTCAAAAGCCACGACAAAGGGGATGGGTGGGTCAGAGCAGCCCAGATCACAGAGGGGAGAGCAGTGACCATCCCTGCTGAGGTGACAGCCCCATTGCTTGGAGCACCAAAGGGGTTTAGAGGCAAAGAAAGACACAGAGCAGCCAGTGCCACCGCTTGTCCCACAGCCTTCGCTGCCCTACCACCAGCCATTTATTTTTTTTCAGTCTTTAATATTTAAGCATCCCCCACGTAGCCTTAAATAAAGCTACAGCGGAGAGCTTTTTGCAGAGTTCAAGTTCCCCTCCCCGCGGGGCCCTTTGAGTCAGCGTCGTTAAGGAATTGGCAGAGTCAGGGAAAAATTGTTCTCTGTGTCAGTGAATTTGTTACTGAGCCGGCTAGAGAACGATCCCGAGTGCATTCGCTGCCAGGGCCCTCGCCCTCCGCCACCCTCCCCGACCAGCACACACGTGCCCCCTCTTCGGCGTTTTTCCTCCGTTTTTGGTCCAAAGCGACCAAAAGCAGTGGGAAGCCCAAGGCTCACCTCTGGGATGGGGATGCAGGAATAGAAACCACCTCGTGCTCCAAACCAGCAGCACAGCCATGCCATGGAGAAGGGGGGAAGGATGCAGCCCCCAGCCCCAGCTCTCCGGGCACCCTCCTGCCTCCGCACCTGGCAGGGCTGTGCCTGCATCCATCCGAATTCGGGGGCTCCTGGCTGATGCCCGATGCCGGGGTCACTGCAGGAGGAGGTCTCGGCACCGCTCCAGCACCAACAGCTCTGCTGAATAATTCATGGCCTGCCGGGTCCCGGGAGCCTCCTTTCCATCGCCTACAAAGCAACGAGCCCATTTCCTTTTGTTCTTTGAAGCGAGGGAGCCGCAGAGGCACCGGCACTTTTTTATAGCGAGTGATTGAACGCGCCGTGCGCGAAGGAGCCCTCCTCGGCGTTGCTTATCTCACCCCCTAGACTACTGAGTGTGACATATTATGGGAACACAACCCTCCATAACCTGCACAGAGCACAGGGCCTCGCTGTGTATCCCACACACACACTTTTTTTTAATTTTTTTTTTCTTTAAATGCTGCAGTTACAGGTGAGGGTTGCTCGCCTTTCGCTGCCGTGCAGCGACACTGGAAGAATTCACAACGACACAGTAGACCCTGGAGAGGGATAACAGCAGCCTGTGACCCCCTAACAGGGAGCTCCTGAGATCTGGGGACCACCTCGGGGTGGGCTGAGGCTTTGCAGCCGAATTTCCCAGGGGCACAAGAGGGATGGAGCAGAGTGCCCTGCCTCGCTGGGCAGCTGTCGATGCCAGCAGCGATGCCTTCTGGCCACCCCCACCTGCTCTAGGCAGCCAGCTGCCTCACCAGATGTGTCAGCGCCCGCAACACCGCGGCGTGTGAGCCAGCACCGTTTGCAAAGCCAGCGGAGGTCCTGAGTACCCTGCAGCCCCAGGGATGCTTTGCAGAGGGGATTATCTCCAGCAGAATAGTTTTACCTCCTTGATGCATCCATCCTGCTGCAAGGAGCCTTCTCAAGGCAAGTATTGCCCAGCCAGGCTGTGCATGTGCAGCATCCTGAGCACAGCTGGCCAGTGGTGCCCCAAGGTACAGCAGCTTGAAGTCATCCTCAATGCAAAGAAAGAGCTGCTTTGCAGATGGGAATTAAAAGGATAAACCTGTTCCAAGTGAACAACCCCTCTGCTCTGCCTCCAGCGCCGCCGTCCGAGGTGGTCCCGCAACAGTGGCTGATGCCGCTGGCCTCTCCTTGAACAAAGCCCTGCAAAAAAATTAAAGCATCCAAGATGCAGCATGGTTTCTCCAAAACTGTGCTGGGCAGGGGGGCAGTGCAGCACCCAGGTGGTATGCAACCAAAAGCCCAAACCTTGTCTAGTCCTCTGATTCAACCTTTCAGTAGAATAAAGCATCTCATTGAAGGGATTTTGGTTTTTTTACCCCCTCCTTGTTTTAAACACTAGGTTTTTTTGGAGGTGTGAAGCCATGATTCTCTTGCAACTGCCTGCCAGGCCATGCTCCCCTCATTTTTCAAATCCAGGGACTTTTAAAGATGTTCTTTATCGATCCAACGCTTATTTATATGCGAACAATAGGAGAAGACGGTTAGTTCAGTTATTAAATTTAGAGAGCTGACAAAAGCAATCGTAAGATATATCACTTAACAGGAGATTAAGAGGGAAGCAGCAGGAGCCCAGATTTCTGACCCAGTGTTTCAGATTGTTTTATACATGTACATCTATGTATTTTTACTGCTCAGAGGCAACATAATAAAACGATACAATTGTGCGCTTTGCCCACAGGGTTTTATCACTAATTGATTTTGCAACAACCCATCTAATCTCATTTCCAAAGGCTTTTGTGTGGGCTGCGAAGGGGACTGTCCTGGCCAGGGGCATCTCCTGGCAGAGGGAAAGCCAGGGCTAGGGGGCTGCAGCCAGACCAGGGAGCACAATGGGCATGGGGAAGTGCTCGAGCTCAGTCCCACCATCCTCAGTGAGGCAGAGCCTGGGCACCAGCCACTCGCCAGCCTTGGAGTGAGGAAGCCATGTCTGCACTCATGGATTCAGCCTGTCCTCATCCTGGATGGCCGGTGGCACATGCATCACTCCTCACCCTCTCTGCTGGGACCGTGGCGTGTCATCACTGCTGCTGGCATCAGTAAATCAATATTTCCTGTGATTTGGAAAGGCAGACAAATGGGAACCTGATTTCAAGATTCCTCAACTCATTTTCACACAGCTAGGCTTTAATCCATCTTCATTATGTTTCCTTTTCACTAAAGCTCCTCATATTCCAAGGACAAGACATCCAGTGACAATTACTTGTTCTTTAAAATTTGATGAACTTCGTATGCAGATCAGATCTGGGCACAGCAGACTGGCTTGGCATATCTATGAAATAACCAGTTGGTTAAATATCCTGGGGCAGGATCTTCCCTTTTGGAGCCCTTGGACAACCCTCACCTTTCCCATATGGGAAATCCCCACATGCAGCACCAGCCCCAAGGAACTGGGGGATCCCCAAACCCAGCCCCAAGGTCCTACCCTTGAAAAAAAAGTAATTCAGGAGTTACTTCTTTCCACTTCTCCATAAATACATTGATATTTTCAGGCACTGTGCCCTTGCAGTCCGCAAGGATCATTCCAGCATCACTCACTCGTAGCAGATAATGGCACAGAGCAGGTACCATCACCTTCTCCAGGGCCGTTGGCCTGAGGTTGCTCAGCAGTTCCTGGCTGCTATCACCTAAATTCACATGCAATTGAGGAAAGCAACCAGACTGAGCCAGGAAACCAAGACAGCTGGAAATTCGGGCCCAAAGGGCATTTCAGTGTCTAACTCTTATCCCCGCTGCAGCTGGGATTGCTCCTCCTTACCCGAGTATTGCCGTCATCTGTTTTAGGAAAACTGCAGTAATTGGCTCAATTCATTTTGAATCAGTTATCGTTTGTGCAAGCAGCAGTCAGGGGATAAAAGCAGCTTGTAGTTAATAACATCCCTAATTCAGAGACATCCGCAGGGATGAGGAGGGGGAGCTCGGCGAGGGGGCGGGGGTCGGGCCTCCCCGGCGGCTGCAGGGCACAGACCGAGGCACCGCACCGGAACGTGGGGACAGGCACGGGGTGTGAAGCTTGAGATGAAGGCTCCTGGCCCAGTGCCACGCCATACAGCACTCATCCTGCCCCGAGGCTGATCCCCTTCAGGCTGAGGCATTGCTTTCTGGGGTTTCTCCTGGGACATATTTATCACCTCCGAGTGCAGAAGCGGGCACCGGGATGCCACAGGGTCTGGCTCTGCCTATTTGTCTCTGCCAAAGGAAAAGCATCTCCTTGTCCGACCATGCCAGCAGCTCTGGAAATAAGATAAGATGAAAAAACCTTTACCCCTTCTTCCCTCTGTGCCATCACACTCACAGGGCTGGGAGGTCCAAATCCCACCCTAGCTCCTCTCCGGGACACACAGATCCTGGTACCG